TTCCAGAATCTTTCGACTACAGCGAATTTATTAGCTGAGCGCATCCAACGTTCTGATACCTTCCTAATAGACTTTTTTTTATTCCTTTACGTTCACAGTGGAACATAGGGTGGCTTCAAGCCGAGTTTTGAAGTTTCGGTAGCAGCGGTGTTTATTTTTACGGGATGGAGTTGCTAGTCTCATGCCCAACCTTCCCTCTTTACCAGTCTTATTACTGGCTTAATGAGGTAAAGGAATGCGTCGACCGGGGGCCAGACCACCTGCGTGGTTGACGAGCATTCCACAGCTGTGCCACTGACGCACACCTTAAGCGACATTGCTCTAGTTTAACTGTTCTAAAGTCACTTTTGATTTCACCAAGATGTCTGACTGTACAGCACTAACCTTTTGTGCTTAAAAGGTAGACGGAGAATGATGGTATTTGACCATTCCTGACCTAGTACTATTATTTGCGTCTGATGCAACTAACTAAAAGACTGGTGTTAGGATTAGTTAGGTACATAGTCTTCATTAAGTAGGTTAACAAAATTACAAATTTATCCTATCTGATTTGGCTTGTGAATGCCTATCTTAACTCTCACTTCCATGGAGATTGGAGAATTATGAATAGTTTATTAGGAATCACCCCCATTATAAAACAGAATGAAAAATGTAGGTGCAAGTTACGTGAATCACACTACGAAGTAGGATAGCATGTGATATAGCTCAGAAGCAGTCGCCGTTGGATAGATGCAGTGATACTATATGCTCAAATTAATCTTATTGCCACAATTTTCGTCTTAAAGCATTTCACAATCTTGATTCACCTGTTTTCCTTTCTACCTTACGGAATGGTCTTTATTAATTTCATTGTCGTCAAGAGCCACCATCGTATAGAGAGATCACTAAATATCTGTTTCATCCTATTTTGCGGTTCTTCAGCAATACGCGCCCATCATCAAATACGGGACCTTCGTCCACCATCCAGCCACTTGGGCTCTTACCTGTATATTAATTCAAATCCCGTAATCTGTATATTATTCTCCAGCCCACTGATGGTTGTCTTGAACCTGTAGTGAGAACTCATGACCATCGGGGTTCGACATGTCAAAGTGGATGTTCGAAGGCATTTATGACGGTAGCGCTCTATGACGATGAGTCAACAAAGTTAGAATTCAATATTAATACGTTATCAACAGTCTCAATCAAACTCACTCCTCATATAACCTACACACATTACACATGACTCACACGTCAGGAATCAATCGGAAGAAATAATCATCTTTTCCAATCTAAACCTATTTCAGACAATGTTATTCTTTGAGAAAGACGGTGCCTCGTTATACGCAAAACACATCGGAGCCATCTCATATGATGAACATTCGCAACTTCAGTGAATTGTATGCTCTTCTTATAGGAACTACCTTCAAATTTATCTCGTTATTACATACTATGTAGATAAACATCAAAAAACACAAATAATTCTTCAGCGAAAATTGCAGTCAAAAAAGTACATAGTCTTCTAATTTTACTGGATATTATAGGTGTATCTGCTGCTGGCAGTAAAGCGGAACAAAGTAGACTGTTGCACATCGGCACGAAATCTCTTTGACAAAAGACGACATATATATATGTCAATCAAACGGAAGCCACTGGTGTGTGTTAGGGTTCATGCAATCTCCCGAAGGCTGATCTTTAAAAGGACTCTACATCTACAGTTTACCAACTTTCCTTTACTTAGCAAGTTAATCAGTAAAAGGTTGAATGTAGATAGATAGCCACTTAGCTCAATTGAATAACAGTCGACCGCAACACTCTAGTGACATAATACTTGGCGGACTGAATAACACAACTATAAGACTATGGTATACTAGCAGTCGTAGTCGGCTAACAGTGATAAAGAGATACTCCTTGATATCTGAACGAGAATAATTTCAGCGAAGATTTTCATCTTCAATAACTTCATCCTCTGTAGTTAAAAATCCTTAAATGTTAGAGAATAATAGTGCCTTGCACTCAAGTTCTACTAAATCACAAAAAGGAACCGCCATTCTACCGAAGTTAAAATTAATGTCTTATCTCTAAATCTAAGAAAAAAAACTGGTAAAATTCAGCAACTGTATACTCGAAATGCCGCGACCGTGGTGTAGCGGTTATCATGGCTGCCTTCCAAGCAGTCGATCCGGGTTCGACTGTGCGTCGGTGACATAGCGGTTAGGATGCTCGCCGACCATGCACATGGTCCGGGGTTCGATCCCCGGCCGACACACTTCTTTACCTCGCTAAGCCAGAAATAATGCTGGTAAAGAGGAAAGGTTGGGCATGAGGCTAGCAACCCCATCCTGTAAAATAAACACTGCTACAGAAACTTCAAGCCACTAGCTTGAAGCCCCATGTTCCACTGGGGAACGTGAAGGAGAAAAAAAAGTATACTCGAAATCGATTCATAACAGTGGACAACTACATTGCACAGCAAAATCACAAGGATTATAATGTATACACAACTATATACCTCTTGATGCTGAAAGTGGATTGAAGTAACTAGTGACATTTCAGCTGGTTTGAGCTACACAAAGCGAAGTGAAGACTATCTGTTTGCCGGTCCACAGGATATTGAGACTCAACTAACCGCTAGAAACTCTTTGTGCCATATGGCTCAAAATCGTTCTGCATGGAGCAGATGCATTCTCTCGTTTGACACTTGCTAAACTTGACACGCCACCTCTGTCTTAGCAGACGTGATATGCGGCTGTCTATCGATCAGAGGATGTGTGTACAGCTCACCATTCGCTCCTCCTCATTTTTGGATGTGAATGAGACATGGCAGCCATTGAAAGCCTGACCGTTTGTGGTCGAGTGTAGGTAGGGAGGGGAAATCAATCGACGAGTTTGTGAAGTTACATCGATTGAGATGGTTAGGCCGCATGTTACGGATGCCTAGCCAACGCCTTCCTCAACGGTCAATGTTAGCTGACATAGGACCAGGTTGGAAAGGAGTTGGCGGGGGTCAAACCGAAACATGGGATCTATGAAATCTTTGATAGTTCCGTCTTACCTTCTACATTAAGAAGTTAAAACATTCTGGTATAACCCAACCCTTACTCCTACAATTCGTTAACTCTCGCATTCTGCCTATTATTCTCTATTGTTCCCCTTTAGTTTTTCCCGGGCTACTGAAGAAAGACTATAACATATTATTCAGGATGTTGAAAGGTTGTCAGCAGGGTAAGCAACGTGTCGCTCAGCCAGCTTGTTAATATTCTGGTCGACAGGCACATGGACTCATATGAAAAATGGGCTAAATCCATTTTATCTAACTCACACCACCCTCTTCACTCACAACTCTCCCCTTGCATCTCATCAGGCAAAACCAGAAGCCTATATAGAAAACTATATGTTCGCACCAGCAAGTACAAAAACTCAATCATACCCTACTTAGCTCGTGTTCTGTGTGATAAAGAAAGCATTAGGCGTGACACCTATAATTCTTTAAATAGTCAGTGGTACAACTGGATCTCGTCTTTCCTTTTCTCTCTCTCTTTTTTTCTGTTATGTGCTGCTTTGTTTCTTTCTTCCGCCTACGCCAGTATATATGAATAGCACCTACTTTTCTAACACCTTCAAACACTCTGTTCAACTTTGGCTTTGCTACCGACATGCCAATGTGTTGTTGTAATAATGAACTGTGATTTCCTTAATCTATGTAGAATTCTATTTATTGATAATGCACTAACTGGATGCAATACTGTAGTAAAAATGCTGAGAATTCCATTCTGTATCACATGTACTGTTTTGGAATAAAGCAAATTATTAATTATTATTATTGAGCAAACCAGTCTCATAGGGAGGTGTAGACTTCGCGACTAGTTGCAGCGATGGTGGTCCCCAGGTTAGTAAGAACCAACGGAAGCTAGAGACAATCAGTGGTGATATGGCTCAAAATCCTTGTTGTCTTCCGTGGCACAAGTGCATTTCCCCTTTGTGATCTGTCATCAAATGCAATAAAACTCTTGTCTTTCGGTATCACTACTGTCATTTTTCCCTCGCTCACACTTCTGTTGATTATCTCTCTATACTCTCTTTCTTCTCTTGCTTTGCGTGTGTGTTACATGTAGTGGAGTGTGACAACTCGAACTACTGTACATCTATGCAAAGTAGTTCCATGCTGAAACCAGTCAGTGATACAGTCAATGACTGAGCAGTAGTCATTCCACACACGGTCGGTTTTCGAAATAGAACTTTGCACACATGTGCGGCAGTTCAAGTCGCCACACTTCCTCCTTGTAGCACACAAAGCAAGAGAAGAAATGCATGTTAGAGATAGTAAACAGAGGTGTGAGACAAAGGAATAATAATGACGGAGAACAAAACAGTTTAACTGGAAATCATAAGTCACAAGGAGTGTATGCATCTGCGCCACTGAGAACGATTTTGAGCCATGTCACCAATTGTTTCCAACCATTGGTTTTCACCGTCCCAAGGACCCCAACCTGGAAGCCAGTCTACACCTTCCTACGTGACTGGCTTAGACTAACTGTTGTAGACTCCATTGACTGGTGCCATGTTTTCGTTTGACCGCCGCTACCTCTTTTCCAGCCTGGCGCTATATCAACTAACATTGCCCATTGTCGAGGAAGGCGATGACTAGGCATACGTAACACATGTCCCAACCATCTCAGTCTATGTAATTTCACAGTCTCGTCGACTGATTTCCTCGCCTTGCCTAGCACTCGACGCCTAACCTCAATATTGCTCACCTTATTATACCACTTCACGCGGGAGATAGAACGCAGACACCTATGATCGAAGACAGCTAATCTTTTCATGTCTTCTGCTCTCAATGGCCAGGTCTCACAGCCATAAAGGAGGATGGAGCGGACTGTTGAGCAGTACACACGCCCTTTGGTCGATAGTCGGATATCACGTCTACGCCAAAGACGGCGTAAACTGGCATATGCATTCCACACACAGACTATACTAATTTCTATAGACTGGAAAACAAAACCCAAAGAGTAAAAACATAAGATATCTCAAGATTTGCATTTTTCTTTACTAGCTGTAGTTGGCTCACAAATATAAACACATCACACTTATATAAAGCAAAAATGATTACAAAAAAACAACAAACAAACAACAACAACCCACAAATGTTATAACTGTATTAAATCTTTTATGTATATGTAGGTGGTGGTGGTAAATGTGATTAGTGAGAAAATGCACATTCAAAATGTGAGCGGGAAATTCACATATAAGTGTGATGATAATGATGATGATGAGAGAAATATACAGGACCCCCCCCGCGAATGCCCCGCCTAGTCAGAGAGGATATTTGCAGTTTTAATAGAAAAGTTAGTTATACAACAAAAAAAACTATTTAAGATTCTTTTCAAAAATATCTAATTAGACCATCCATCTTCTTCACTGTAATTGTTTATATATGATTAATGTGGGAGCAAGCAAAAATTGACACCTAAAAAGCATTAAGAAAAAACTGCGCATAGCTGGGGCGGGCGCGACAGAGATGTTGTATTTCTTTTTTTATATATATATAAAAAAGTTGTCATTTCAGTGTAAACGTGCCATTTCTTCTACAATTTTCACTAAATCTTCAACGGTACATTCACGTGTTTCAGGATCAGTTGTGCATGCGGAACCAGCTGTTCCGAACTCTTCCATGTTTACCTTAAACACACACAGAAAAAATAAAAAGAGAAGAGAGCTTACAATTTACATGTTCAAAAAATATTATCACTGTTTAAGATTATTATTATTATTATTGCATCCTTTAATTCCTAGAGGAACATAGGGCTTCAGCTGTGCGTCTCCATTGAGTTCGGTTCTCTGCTAGAGTCTTCACCTGGCTCCATGTCTGCCCACACGTTTTCATCTCCTCTTCACATCACCTCCTCCAAGTCACCCTTGCACTGACGACCAACTCGCCGCTTCCCTTTCGGGTTCCACTCGAGCAATGGCTTGTCTAGTGATGTCACTTGATGGTTTGTTTCCTCAGAGTATGGCCAATCCATCTCCATTTCTTCCTGCCTATTTGTTTCACAATCGGTTCCTGCTAGGTTGGTTCGCTCCCAGAGATCTCTGTTGCTGATCTTTTCAGACCGGCCATCTGATCTTGAGTATTGAGCGAAGACAACTGTAAATGAAGATCTGTAGTTTGTTTGAGATGCTCTTCATGACGCGCAGTGCAAGTCTCTGATCCGTATACTAGCACTGACTTCACATTGGAGTTGAAAATGTGGATCTTATTTTTTGATGCTGAGAGTTGTTGACCTCAACACAGACTTGAGAGTAGTGAAAGCTTGTCTTGCTTTTCCGATTCTTGCTTTGATATCCTCTTCAGTTCCGCCTGTAGTTGAAACGATGCTTCCCAGGTAGGTAAAGGAGGTTGTTTCTTTCAGATTTCTCCCATTTATGCGGATTGTTGTCTGTTGTTGTTGCTGTGGCTGTTGGTGTTGTCCAAGAATCTTCATCACCTCTGTTTTCTCTATGTTCACCTGAAGTCCTATCTTTGCTGCTTCTTCTGCCAACTTGTTTAAGATTAAAACATAAAAATTTCTGATATTACATGGTCGGAGGGAAATCGGTAGGAAGTCTTGTCTAGACAGACCTAGGTGGCGTGCTAGTTGGCACTCACAATTTTGCAAGACATATATATCTGTAACCTTGAATGAACTCATTTCCCTTGTAAAGACAGAAGACAAGGCCCAGGTATCAGATCGTTTATTGAGGAAATCAAGAGATATTTATACATTTTTGTGTACATTATTATTCGGTATTATTAGGAGAGAAACAGCGTCTTCTGATTGGTTGTTTTCTTGCTGGAAGTTATTCGGTCATCTCTTTATGGCCGTTTCTTTGAAGGTTAGACTACATATATTTGCGAATCGTGTCCGCCCACGCAAAGTCTGCCATGATTGGTTGTTGGGTTGGTCTTTGTTCTTGTATTTTTCTCATGACCAAGATTCAGGACGTAAATTGCTGTCTACGAATTTTGGCTAGCAGACAGCTCTCACCACACCCTTCTGAGATTCGAACCCATATCACCCCGTGCTGCAATCAGAGACGCTACCGCTGAGCTTTTCGGGCTAGCGATTGACCTCCTGTAGGACTGTATAGGCTACTTTGATTGGACACTAGTTAGTAAATAGTGTAATGTGTCTAGTCCTTTGTTCGGTAGTGCAGACTGAATTCTAGCAGTCAAATTAGCAATGGAGTTCCTTTAAGGTTACCTTGCTGACTGGTGAGTGCCAACTACTAGCACGGCTTTCTGTCGATTGCCTCCAGCTATCATCCGTTATCCACAATTCAAAGGGTAACGTGATGGCGAGCCGCTTATAGCATGGTGGCCATATTGCAAACTTGACTGATAGAATTCAGTCTGCACCAATTAAAGGTTCTATTTATTTGGGAAAAAACAATTCAAGACTGGTACTTTTTTCATTTCACTTACATGTAAGTAAATAAAGTATTTTGAAATGATTGGTTGGAGGATTTCATCATGAGCTGACACATCAGTTAGAGAACCACCATTGGAAAACCAGCTGAGAGTACTGGACAGCTGTTTCGTCTCATTAGTTAGGGACTGGCTCTTCATCAGTACGCACCCACCAAGTGGGGTTAGAACCAAGGACCTTCTGGTTACAAGGCGAGCTCGTCAGCTCATGATGAAATCCTCCAGCTAATCAAACAAAATTCCCTAAAAAACCAATACTTGAATATTCTGAATGAATTTATCTACTAAGCTATGGGACGAACTTGTTTATGTGAGGGTTGATGATGCCACTACTACCCAGCCTTCCCAGACTGTAATAAATGCAATAGAACACTTAGAGAAGAACAGCTGGCTGTAAGCTGAAGGCTATATGCCAATGAACTACATCTTTTCCAGTGGGAATCGCGCACAGAGAGTCATAAAACTCAACAAAGAAGAAATACAATATTCAACAGAAAAAAAACCTAATTCACAGTTTACAAATTAATTAGTAGTCTGCAATGTCCCCGGCCGACGCACTCCTTTACCTCACTAAGCCAGAAATAATGCTGGTAAAGGGGAAAGGTTGAGTATGAGGCTAACAACCTCATTCTGTAAAAATAAACACTGCTAAAGAAACTTCTAGCTTGAAGCCATCCTATGTTCCACTGGGAACGTGAAGAAAAAAAAGTGTACATAGTTCCAGTCAGTGGTGTTTTGATCTGATTTGACCCTCTGAGTTAAGTCACACTGGGTAACACACCGATGATGTTGTCGATCGCAAACGAGCAAAACGACTGTCCAGTGTGTTTAGATCACACTCCGATCTGACTAGCAAGTACAACTGATTGCTATGATGGGCATTTACAACTACTCATCTGAACCAATCAGTAGTATGTAGTTTCAAAATAATCTCTATGATGTATATGACGTATGTGGAATTTAAGAGCCCAGAAGTACAAAAGCAACCGAATACAAAACCGCTGAACTACTTCTTAATGCATTAAAACCAGTAACAGAGATGTGGAGTTTAAACCACTGAGAGCAAAAAACAATAAGCACTACACACACACTTTTGAAACTTTGTTAGTTATCTGTATTTGATCTCATATTTTGTGAGGGACCCAGTGGCTGAATGGTCTGTCTATAGGCTTGTCTTGTAATCAGAAAGTCCTGGGTTCGAACCCCGGTCGGATCCTACCACTGAAGAGTCCCAGACGACAAGGACAAAACAAATGTCTCTGGTTTTCAGTGTGTCGATGGCACACAGAAGTAGAATGCGGTCCAGGGTTCGATCACCGGTCACCAACACACTTCCAAACTTCGCTTATCTGGTAAGACGCCCGATAACAAATAGGGAATGTTGGGCGTGAGACTAGTCAACCCCATCCGGTAAATATAAACACCACTGCTACCGAAACTACAAAATTGTAGCTTGAAGTTGTATATCCCATCGGGAACGCAAAGAATAAAATAATAATAATGATAACAGATAAATTTTGCGAATTAAAACTGGAACACAATAAAGCATAGCTAAAAATGGATACAATTACGCTTTACATACCGGTATACGTAAACCTTTAACCAATTTCACTTTATCTTCCATTTTCAAATCTGTAACTGTTTCAATCAGATCACCATCAACAAAATTATGCGCCATTTTCACTTCACGATCAGCTTTAAAAGCTCGCCATACATCGTGCGAGAATCCACCCACTGGGACAACTAGATTAGTTAACCGGAATTCAATTTCTTTCAAAAAGGCAAATAACACCGGTGAAACTTGAACAATCAGACCTAGACCACCATTGACAGTACCGTATAGGTGACCAGGATAACCGATAGCTTCCCAACGTTCTTCAGCATTTTGAAGTACAAGATTGCCTAAAATGTCGACAAAGAGAGAAATATATATACACATAGATAATAACTGTTTGAATATACACACATTTAAGAATTTCATTCACAAAGTTATGAATTCTGCTTAATGCATTATGCGGAAACGATGACAGGCAATAGTAAAGGATAGACACCACAGTCAAACGACTTTGAAACAACCAATCAGATTGCTCAACATTTAACACGGATGCTGTTCATAATCTTCGTCGCAAGTTTCACCCATATTTGGTTTTTGACTTTTATCATTATTTCCTTTAATTTCTAGAGGAACATAGGGCCTCAACCGTGCGTCTCCATTGCGTTCTGTTCTCTGCTAGAGTCTTCACCTGGCTCCATGTCTGCCCACATGCTTTCATCTCCTCTTCACATGACCTCCTCCAAGTCACCCTTCGACGACGAACTCGCCGCTTCCCTTTCAGGTTCCACTCGAGCAATGGCTTGTCTAGTGATGTCACTTGATGGTTTGTTCCCTCAGAGTATGGCCAATACATCTCCATTTCTTCCTGCTTATTTGTTGCACAATCGGTTCCTGCTGGGTTGGTTCGCTCCCAGAGATCTTTGTTGCTGATCCTTTCCGGCCATTTGATCTTGAGTATTGAGTGAAGACAACTGTTAATGAAGGTCTGTCGTTTGTTTGAGATGCTCTTCATGACGCGCTGGCCAAGTCTTTGATCCGTATAGTAGCACTGACTTCACATTGAGTTGAAAATCCGGATCTTATTTTTCATGCTGACTGCTGTTGACCTCCAAACAGACTTGAGAGTAATGAAAGTTTGTCTTGCTTTCCCGATCCTTGCTTTGACTACTGTGTGAAAAATGGGTTGACAGAGAGGACTAAAACATGCATATGTGGAGGGATAATGAGGCTTCAGAAGTATTGCCGGCCGTTACTTGTGGTAATGCATTCAGATGCAATCACTGCCATATATAGCAGGAAGTCTGTACAAGCTGGCAAGTTGTACATTATGGTGATTTTGTAGATACTTTCCTCTCGAAATCGAAACTTTGGCTTATTAAAATATCGTGTATATACCACAATTGGCTAGTGAGATGATCAGTATCTGTTGCAGCTGCCGAAACAGAGAATACTAAAATGTCAACAGTGCAGTGGTATCAGCATTGTCGTGATATTGCATCATAAAAGATCAGTGGAATTACCTCTGTACTTGGAGGAACTGGTGTCGTCATTCATATTGATGAAGCAGTACTTATTGAACGAAAAATGAATCACCACGGTAGGGGAAGAGTAAACCATGTTTGGGTGAAGGGATTGTACGACATAAATCTTTGAATAAACGTTGGTAGAACGTATCCCAAATAGAAGTGACGATGTTTAAATACCAATAATACAACGACTAGTCCTCCCAGGCACTACACACTATTCACACAGACGAGTGGAGAAGATATTCACAACTGTCATCATTAAGTCAATCATCTTTCCGAATTAGTGAATCCTACAAGTGGTACTCACACAAATTCCACTGGAGGATTCTGGGCCCAGCTGAAACGTATTAGAATGCCGATGTGATATGATATGAATTTTTGTATCGACATTGGTTTGATATGCGTGTAGACAGTCCTATGAGAAACTGGGGTCGATTTTTGTAGCACACTGGAGATATATACCCTGCATAATTTTGCGCTGCGGGTTGGCCACCCCTCCGCACACTTCTTGAAATGCTCCCATATGACCGGGCGTCTTACATAGCCTCTCCTGAGGAAGTCCTACTCACTGCCTTCGCGTGGCGGAGGTGTTTTTCACCAAAGTGAGAGGGCGAAAGCGGATGCCCGGCGCTCCTCACCGGGTTGACTGTCCATTGGATGACAGTCTAGGGGAGATGGCTAAACCCTGATTCCAAACCTCCAACGACTGGCGTATGAAGCTTACTGGAGCTCACTGGCAGACGTATGGACAAAGGGCTTGTTGGATGTCCTGGATGTCTGGACCCATTCAAAAAGGCGTATGAACCGAAATCCGGTCACCGGCTGCCAATGGGTAGTGGACTCCCTACTCCACTCCTACTGCCTTGTAGGTCACACTTGGTTGTGTAAAGGCTAGAGCTGCACTCTCAAACAAAAGGCCGAGCGATTCTGGGGACATCACTCGTACCAAATTCCCATGAAACTTCATGAACTCTCTTACCTGATATGGAGTGCCTGGGGCTACAAACCGTCTACGGACTCCGTCTGTGGAACAAGAATTGGATAACCCTGTCGCAAAACCTTGCATCAGATCGCCGCGCCTGGGCAGCGATGATTCGAGATGTTCATGAAGCCGGCTCATCCTCCCGTAGGAGATAGCCGAAGTAAAGTAAAGTATATATATATATATATATATATATATATATCATACGATAAATGCCACTTTCACCTAGAACAACCTGATGGGTTGGTTCCAGATCATTTGACTGTGGTATCTATTCTTTACTGTTGCCCAATGCAATGACATTTTGTTTTTGCCTTCATATGTTGTAAGACCATTATAATTGAGGTAAACATCTCAGTGAGGAAGTTCAGTGTTCAAACTCCAAAACTCTCCATGTAAATAGTAATTTCCTCTTTACAGAATACGCACAGAAATGACTCAACCTCTTTTTTGCTACGCTAACCTTTTCATGCCATTGGCGAGACAATCGAATGTCAGTTGACAGTGTGCTCTTTCCTTTTATACCATAACGAAAATACCAATTACTGTTAGGTGATCTGTAGGGACTTCAGTTCCTGAATAGATGTTGTCTTTTTTCAGCATCGTTTATAAACAACTGAGTTGAAATTACAAGAAAAGTATTAGATAAATAGATAAGGACCTTACGAATGTCCATCTGCTGAGGTGACTGTGTTATCCTTAAGTATCCGACAAAATTTAATACTTTATTAGCTACACTAAAAAATTTACGCCGGAAATAAGCCAAGATCTTATTTCGTAGCAGAGCACATTATTCTATACATTCTCTAACCCACATACATTCATATCTCATTCACATCTAGACTATGATTTCATATTTTTTTAATTATTTTCTAGCCTAGCTGGAACACACTACTTCAGGGTTCTTTTTACCTCAGGATTTACCAACTTCACAGAAGGGAAGTTTATTTAATTCCTGTGAATTCATTTGGTATAAAGGACAGAAAGAACGTATCATGACTCAATGCAAAGATGCACAACAGACGGAGAAGCTGAGTTCAATGTACACTGCACTGAATAAAGACAGAGGTGAAGAAGAGTGCTAGGAAAGACAAACGACACTTCTAAGATACACTGGCTGGCAACTGAAGCAGAACAGGCAGGCAGGCCGCCACAGGCAAAAGAGACATCAGGCCACTATATCAGATAACCAGGTCTCTATCCGCGAAGAGATCAACACAGATGATGAAACCATCAAAAGATGCTCAAGGGAACCTGATTAGCAAGGAGGAGAAACAACTAAAACAACGGGCTGATCACTTTAAAAAACTCTTGAATCGACCATCACCTGCAGCTCGCCCAGAAATACCACCACCACCAACACACACGGAACTGCCTACCAGTGGACATCAATCCTCCAACGAGAGCAGAAATCCTAAATGCGATCAAGCTACTGAAGCCTGGCCTGGAAGGCAGCGGAGTCTGATGGATTTCCACCCGAAGCACTGAAAACGGACCCACAGACTGCGGCAGTTGTGCACACAATTGCTGAAAGAGGTTTGGAAAGAAAGGTACCTGCCAATTGGAAGAAAGGCTACATTGTCAGGTTACCAAAGAAAGGCAACTTACGGCTCTCTCCTCAAGAACTGGTGTGGAATAATGTTCTTCTCCATGCCAAGTAAAATACTAAGTCACATCATCTTGGAGAGAATAAAAGATGCACTGGATACAGAACTCCGCCAACCCGGAACAAGCTGGGTTCAGGAAAGGCAAATCATGTGCTGATCAAATTGCTACTCTACGCGTCATCATCGGACAAAACAGAATGGCAGTCACATCTCTACCTCAAATTCATAAACTTTGGAAATACCTTCGACAGCATTGACTGTAGAGTAGTTTAGAAACAACTTCAACACTACGGTGTGCGGTGCCCCAAATCTTTATCAACCTCATTCAACAGTTGGTTATATCACAGTGCCACGTGCCAGGTGATCCACAACACAAAACTCAGCGAGGCGTTCGAATTGAATACAGGAGTAAGACAAGTTGGCTGCCTGCCAATTATCACTGATGACATTCCTGATTGTGGTGGACTAGATTATAGGGCACACCATGTGTGAGGAGCAAGAATATGTTGGACTGGTAACAAGACTTAAGAAGATCCCGATTTCGCAGATGATTTGTCTCTCATGTCACGCAGATTCGACTTGCAGACGAAAATCAACAACCTGGCAGAAGAAGCAGGAAGACAGGACTCCAGGTGAACATAGAGAAGACGGAGGTGATGAAGATAACCTACCAACCAACAACCAGAACAATAACCAGAACCAATCACCATCAACGGGAGAGATTTAACAGAGGTTACTTCCTCCCTTCATTTATTTGGCCAGGAAGCACCATTTCAACTAAAGGCGGTCGGAACGGATGAAGATATCAGAGTCAGAATAGGAAAGGCAACATACGCCTTCATCAAACTGAAACCAGTTTGGAAATCTTCTGCAGTCAGCATAAGGAACAAGATTCGGCTTTTCAACACTAATATCATGTCGGCCAGTTCTTCTGTACGGGTCAGAAACTTGTAGTCCGCGTCATCAAAAGCATTTCCAACAAGGTACCACAGACTTTTATCAACAATTGTCTTTGCTGGCTCTATATTGAAGATCTGATGGCCCGTCAGAAAGAATTAGCAACAAGAAACTCTGGCAACAAACCGAACAAGAGCAGATCGCTTAACAAATATGTAGGAAAAAATGGAGATGGATTGATCAGGCATACGTTGAGGAGGCCGTCGAATGACATCGCGCGCAATGCAGGCCCACACGCTCGAGTGGAATCCAAATGGGAGGTGACAAGTGGTTAGTCCGAGGGTGACATCGAGGAGGTCGTTTAGGGAGTAGCATATGAGAGATTACGGGCAGTCGTGGACCCAGCTGGAGAGGACAGCTGAGAATAGAACAAAGTGGAGATGTGTTGTTGAAGCCCTTTGTTCCACGTGGAACCCAAGGAAATAATAATAATAATACGAGGAATTTACTAATATATGACTACTTTGGAAAGGTGCATAATATATATTTGTACACATTAAGTAATTGCTTCACTTACCACGCACAAATACATTGATAAAATCTCCTGTATGAATATAAGCACAATCAACTAAACGCTGCATCTCACCGGAAACACCACTTGAATTCGGTTTTGTACTTGTTAGACGAGAGTCGAGAAAATGTCGATTCGATGGTGGATTATTTCGACTCTCGGCTACAGATGTCACGTTATTCATAGGGATTGTATTAGAATTCGATGTAGAATTAACATTATCACCGCCACCACTGGTTGTAGATTGTGATGTTGCATTATTATGATTATTATTTTTATTTGATTGTAATTGAGATAATGCTGGCAGAACAGATGATTCAGACGATAACAGAGCACGAAAACTTGGCTCTCTAGTATTTTCTGGAAGATCTCTTGAAACTACAAAAAGATTATGTTCTACTTCAGCGGCAAGAAAGTGTTCATCGTCAAGAATCTCAATACACGTTGTCCAACGAGGATGCCGATGTCGTCCAATCTAAAATAGACATATATATATATATATATATATATATATATATATATATATGGATGCATAGATATTTTACGAAGCACCTAACTAAAGGATAAAATTAAAGTTTTATATTATATTCGTTTTTTCTGCATACTTAAAGGAAGTCCTTTAAGCGTCCGAGGAGATCATCATCTGGAGCAGGTATAAAGTTTAGACCGGTCGCTATAACATCTCCTTTTTTGAAAACTATGGAAAAACTTCTTTTGAATATTCTTAAACCTTCTTTAAAAGCTTTTAATGACCCTAAGCAGTTTGCTTATAAGTGTGGAAGAAGTACATTAGATGCAGCCATTGTACTACACCACAATATTGTTTCCTGCCTTGATAAGGGTGCTAAGTTCGTTCGAAAAGCTGTTTTAGACTATACTGCAGCTTTCGACTCTGTTCCTAGGACACTTTTATTAGGAAAGATGATTTCAGCACAAACAGAGTCCTGGGCAACTAGATGGCTGTCTTCTTATTTTAAGGATAAGAAACAGCATACTGTTTTGGCTGGAAAGCGCTCCACTTCTCAGCTAACTGAACGTGGTGTGCCTCAAGGTGCAGTACTTTCTCCATTTCTTCTCTCTTTCTTTTTGCATGACCTTCCGAACTCACTTAAAGTTAACTTCATTAAGTATGCTGATGATCTGACCGTTTCTGTCCCCGTAGTTTCCACATCGGATTGTTCCCATATGAATAGCTTCTTAGCTGGCTCAAATGGTCTTAAACTAAATCCAACTAAATGTAATACTGTTGATTTCAGCTTGAGAAGTGAAAAAGATATGCATGGATTGGTCCAATCTCATGATTGTTGTAATATTGATGGTACCATGATAGAGAGTAAGTCATGTGTTTCTTATCTTGGCATTAGTTTCTCTTCAAACCTTTGCTGGTCGTCTCATATTCTTATAGTTTCTAAGAAAGTTTTCCGTCTGACTTATTACATAAAGAAGTTGAGGCACTCAGGTATAACCCAATCTCTTCTCATACAATTTATTAATTCATGTGTTTTGCCCATCATTCTTTATTGTTCTCCATTATTCTTCCCTGGGCTACTCAAGAAAGACCATATAATACTACGAAGAACATTGAAGGCTGTAAGTAGGGTCAGTGCTATCCCTTTGACTCAACCAACTGACACTCTTGTCAATAGGCATATGAATTCTTGTAAACACTTAGCTAAAGTTATCTTGTCAGATAGTGAACATCCTCTTTATTCACAATTGTTTCCTTGCATCTCTTCGGGTAAGACCAGAAGAAATTTCATAAACATTTATGCTCGTACTACAAAATATAAAAATTCGACCGTACCATATTTGGCACGAGTATTGTGTGAAGAGACAAATATCAGAAAAGAACTTTTACAACTTTTAAATCATTAACTAAACTATAAAATGTAATGATGCATATTATTGCATGCGTGATTTGTTATATTATTTATTTATTATTCACTGTGACCTAGAAATGGTGTGATTTTGTCGGGGTTTTTATTTTTCCTGTTAACTATCAATATTTTAAAATTTTATACATTTATATAATTATAAACAGAGGTAAACCATTGCAATATGTAGAAGAAACACTGAAAATTCCATGCTGTAAATTGTTATTGTTGTGGAATAAAGTGAATTATTATTATTATTATCATGTGAAGGGGTTAAGAGACAGCAGAGAATCGAGTGACAACAGATATGTGATGACGAAATACTCTGTTCCACTCGAACTCTCGGGGATGAATAATAATAGTAATAAACAATACAGAATCACAAGGATCCCAATAAATGAAACTATCAAGATCATTTGTCCACACATTCTGATCTTCTCCTACTCCCAGTATCAGAATTCAAACGCCTAGTGCTAATGTGTGCCATGGAAGTATAATTCCAGTTTGACAACACTTAGCCACCATGTTTTAGGAGACATCTTCGTGTTCAACCTTCAAAGAAAAAAGTTGAAGCATGCGGTCGACGGAACAACTTCTTGTTGTCGATATGTCACACAGATGACACATTTGTAGTGTGCAACAATGATGAAAATCATCATGCTTTCTACCTACTCAAACTATTCAACGACGCACATAGAAATATTGACTTTACTATGGAACATAAAAACGATGGGAGGTTTTATTTCCTTGGCATTGCCATGCAACACCTGGAATATGGTAGTCTCCAGAGGTCAATTTACAGAAAGCTATGGGTGACACAGGGTGACAAGAGAGTATATACTGACGCTTTAAGTGAAGAGACGTGGAAATTCTTAAAGTTGATAACACATAACTTTACAACAATAACGCGAATACATTCACATTTACATTCTTTCTATGCGTTACTTTTTTTTCAATCTACTATTGTAAACAACAATTTAACACAGGACTTCAGAGGCACATCTTTACTTCATTCAGTTTGAAGTTACTTGTAGAAGTTTTCCTTCTTTTGGTAAGTCTTGTTTGTCAGGGCATGGCGCAGGATGATTGTAACTCGTCTGCTTTACATTATCCTGATGATGAAGAACGGTTCCAACCGTTGATGCTGTTGACGACATTACGATATCCACTCCTTCCATCAGTGTGTATTGGTGTTTATCGTCTGGGTGACTAGAATTTATTTTATTTTATTTTCTTATATTGATTACAGCTTGATTCCACACCGTATTTTCCGTACAAGTATGGAATTTTCAGCATGGATATCGATGGCCCAAATTTACAGGCCGACCATAGATTATTGATACTCTGGTTAACAATTTGTAGAGTTCACTTGCATTCCATTCACTCCAAAAGATTCCTAGCACTTTTATAATAGACTGACTCATGTTTTTCGCAGTCTGAACAGTCTTTCCAATTTCAAACATGCTTACTTTTGCTTTCAACAAAATGAAGACACTTCAGCTGACCAGCTTCCTGAAGGATTTCACAAGCCCGCATTATTTACGTCTCTCCAATTTTAGCAACGGAAAGTTTCCTTTCTATATATAATTTTTTCTGTGATTTCAAGTTATTCAAGCTACTGAATTGATTTCCCGAAGTAGGAGTGGTAGGCTAACTCGGATGTTATAGTCCTACTAGGCAAAGATACCGGTTAAAATGCAGTTTTTTGAACACGTTGAGCAGCAATTTCCGAATGTTTGACATGTGAAACACCTAGTGATCACCTGGAGATTTCAGTGAGAGAGTAACACTTATTTTATTTAGCTATGGACAGCAAAGTGACAGAGCATGGTCTCGGGTTCTAGTGGGAAGCCGTGACCAGTAGGGTACAGCAGGTTGAAGATGAGGACAGTTACTCATCGAAGAAATTGCGAAGTGGTCGCACTATACTGTGAATTGGCAGAAGTTAGAAAACAAGGACCATTGGATCGAGTCCCAGTGGCTCAATGGTCTACGAGCTCGCCTTGTAACCAGAAGGTCCTGAGTTCGAATCCCGATGGGTACGTACTGATGAAGAGTCCCAAACTAGGACGAAACAACTATCCAGTACTCCCAGGTTTCTCTAACTGATGTCAGCTCATGATGAAATCCTCCATGCAATCAAAAGTGACAAGAGTATACCAACTGCCTCTAGCGACTAGTTCTTAGGATCCCGAGGACCCCAACTAGTCACGAAGTCTACACCCCCTAGGTGACTGACTTGCTCAAGTTAGTTATCGAAGATTTCATGGACTGACTCCAAGTTTTGGTTCGACTATCACTAACTCTTTTCCAACCTGGTCTTACGTCAGATAACAATGCCCGTCCAGGAAGGCGATGGCTAGGCGTGCAGTTCTAGGCGCCAGAATTCGATACACAACCTAAACTACTGTAAATCAATCAGCAAAGTTATCCTCGAAGAATTTTAAAGACAGATCCTCAGGCTAGACATAATAACACCTTTGAAATTCAGTACAGATATAAACCATATATCAAAATCAAAGATGTAAAATAAGCATTGAAGAAATTAATGTCAAATAGTAACAACTTACAGCTTCAAAATTATTGACATTTGACTTGAATAACAACAGTGTTAATGAACGCATTAAATCACCAATTAGGACAAAATCACCTTTTCGACGAAGATAAAGAGCCACAATATTTTCATTGAAGCTACACGCCAGTCGTAAGGAATCCTCTTTGATATCGAAAAGTCTCACCTGTTTTCGCAAGATGGGAGATATCAACAACAAAAAAACAAACGCACATACACTTAGTAAAAAATATTGGCCACACAATCAAAATCAAACGAATACAGGAAAATATTAGACAAGAAGACAGATACTGAAGTACCAAAAGTCTAAGCTCCGTAGGCTTTCGCTTTCCGAAACTTACAACCCTTACTATTACTTAATGGCTGAATAATGTCAGGTATTCGACTCAATCAATATGCTTAGTCAGTGGAAGCATGTCTTCTAGTTATGCCTGAGATTTATTCCTACGAAAAGCCTTACGATCTGCAAAGAATCACCGTATGGCATTTAGGAACCTATCCCTTTACCCACCCGGAGTGACTGACTGACTAACTGAGTCTCAACACAGAACTTTGCACAGATATGCAACAGTTTAGGTTGTCAGGCGAGATGGGGACCTGGAAAATGCTGGTTGGACGGTTGCCGGCAGAGTTCGACAGCGCGACAGACAGGCAGCTGGGGATGCGACAGTTCCGTGCCACGAAGCTGAGACCGGACGGAGACCCACTAGTGTTGGCAATGAAGCTGACGAATCTATTACATCGTGCACTCTCAACGTTGCATGTAGATTCGGAGTCATAGTTACGGGTGTCCCAGTTCATCGAGTGTCCCAGACCAAATTTCTCAGTAACTAAAACTGGTTAACACTGCACAACCCAAGGAAATCGGTGACCAGAAAGATGTTGAGCACAGAAACAGGTCAGGAATTCGTCGTTACCAGAAGACCACTGAACTGTTGATCCGCAAATTGCCTTTCCAACGTTTTGTCCGTGAGATTCCCCAGGACTTTAAGACTGACTTACGATTCTAGAGCTCAGCTGTGTCTGCTTTGCGAGAAGCCAGTGAAGCCTATTTGGTTGGTCTTTTCGAAGAAAGGACCCGGATAGATGCGGGCCAGGTTCACGGAAACTCCTCCCAAAGTGGGTAGGGCGATATAACACTGTAACCGAGAGATGTGGTCGCGTTTATACCATCAAAAAAGAGGAAAGGAGCAGAAACGGGTTAACGTCAGCCAACTTCAGAAATGGATTCAGTGGAATAGAGAAGCCGGGATCAAAGTACAACAGCAACGGGGATCAAAGAAGTTTGTCAAGTCAATCGAACTTCAGCTGTTTTACTGTCAACGATTAATTTATATATCCGTGCGGATTTAAACAAATGGTGGGGAATATAATTTCCACGGGAAAAGAGCTCAGAGGCGGTGTTGTAGTGAGGTTGTGTATCTCCATTATCTATTCACATCATCTCTAATAAATACACCTTTGAGCAGCCGCGAGAGTTAGATTCTTCCATCACTAATTGCGGGTGTGTGTGTGTGTTAAGAACAGCCTGATTACAAGGTTAGGTGGGCCAGGCTAAAGAGTCAAGTAGCGTAGTGTGTGACTAAAGCTCTGGTCTAACAGAATAGATAGCCACATAACAATTATTATTATTATTATCATTATTGTTCCCTTGGGTTCCTAGTGGAACATAGGGCTTCAACTGCACGTCTCCACTTGCTTCTGCTGCACTTTTCATTTGCATCCATGTTAGTCCATTCTGTTTCAACTCTTCTTCACACGATCTCCTCCATGTCATCCTTGCACCGACGAACCACTCGAGCTATGGCCTGACGCGCGACGTCACCCAGCGGCCTCCTCAGCGAGTGTCCAATCCATCTCCACTTTCTCCTGCATATTTGTTGAGCGATTGGTTCTTGTTTTGTTTGTTTGTTCCCATAGTTTCTTGTTGGTGATTCTTCCCGACCATCTGATCTTCAGTATACAGCGAATACAGTTGTTGTTGATAAAGGTCTGCAACAGGCTGTTGGAAATATTCTTTGTGAGCCGCTAAGTTTCTGATCCATCCGTATAGAAGAACTGACTGACTTGACGTTTGTATTGAAAATCCGAATCACTTTGTTGCTGATGCAGGCTGAGTGACGAAGATTTCCAGATTGGTTTCAGATTGATGAATGTGTTTCTCGCCTTCCCGATTCTCGATTTGACATCCTCGTCCGTTCCTCCTGTAGTTGAGACAATGCTCCCTAGATAAGTGAAAGAAGTAACCTCTTTCAAATCCCTCCCGTTGGTGATTGGCGCTGGATGTTGCTGCTGTTGGTTGGTTATTTTCATAACCTCCGTGAGTGAGAGTTATTTCCAGTTGAAACCTATCGGGAACGAGGTCGAAGTCGCTCAAGCAGCGTAACTAACCGGTTTCATAGAATACCATCTAAACGGAGAGACAGAACACAGACAGGTATGATCAAAGACAGCTGCTAGCCATTATCATGGTTAATAAGCCACTTGTAATGAAATTCTAATACCTCACACTTCCTTATGTAATTTGTGCTATGGACTTAATCTAAAATGATAACAAAAGCTAAACAGTTAAACCAGTCGGTTACCAAGACTACCACAAAAGCATTGGAAGATTAGATATAAGTACGTGCGTGTGATATATACATACCACTAACACAAAAGAAATACTACAATACAATATTAATCATAATCAACTGTGAACAAGGCACGACTAATTGTTACATAATAATGAAAACGAGTCAACCAACACCTACCGAACAGTTAATACCAGCTAACAGACGACCATTGAAATCAACAACTTGATAAACTGAACCATTAACATCTTGAACCAGAACAGTTTCCAGTCTTGAAGACTCTGGATCCCAACGGAACAAATGTATTCGACCTTTGGATGGTTCCACTTCATCTTCGACTAAGAATGCAGTGCCGACAGCAAATAATGGTCCTTTATGAATCTCTGATTGGACAGAAGTTATGCTGATAGCCATTTCAACCAATGTCTGACTGTAGTAAAAGCTATGAGCGAATTGGATTTCAAGGTTGGACTGAGTGAAGATGAGAAGAGAAGAGACTTCGATTTCACGAAACTTTCTTTCAGTGGCAGAAACACAGGCTGAAAAAAATAATAATAATAATTGATTTTTATCAATCAAATAGGTGATTCAAAAACAGTCATTTGAGGTGCACAAAAAGTTTGCTGACCAATAGCTATTATACCTTGCATATCATAATGACCTAACAAGCTACACTGGCTAGAACGAATGTTCCTACAGGTCCTAACCATGTCAGGAAGATTGTTAAGATAGCGAGCGGACTAAAAACAGTTACCGGCATAGTGTAAGAATTTTTTCTCACTACACTGGAGGGGGGTTGTGGGTAAAGTCGTACTGTTGGGGAACAGGGATGTAACAGCAATAAGGTGTTTCCCTCAGATGACCAGCATGCCAGCCAGCTATGCTGTCTCTCCACTTTGGCGAGTAGGGGTTAGAAAAGGTCGACTCCAACAACTGTACATCCCGACTTACCCTACACGCTGGTCCGTAGCCAGCGATAAGTTAGTAATACGGAACCAAACCTAAAAACCAGTTCAAACAGGTTGTGTGTGGTCACCCTTAGGCAGTTGTCTTCTGAACTCTACGGTCACACAACACTAATTCTCTTTTGATTAAAGGAATTCCAAGAAAAAAGAAAGCTCTACAATGGGCAACGGGGAAGTAACAACAGCCCATAAACTTCATGTTAAAGACATCCTTTATCTATAAGATTTGGGAAGTACTCATAATAAAAGACAGTAAACACCAAATTCTTACCCTAGCATACCAGAAATTCCAGGGTTCACTGCTTAAAAATAAGGGTGGGTGAGTGTCTCTGGAGGGTTCTGGGTGTTTAGATCTCTCTCTGGTGTGTGCCAGGTAATACCCGTCACCAATTTATGCTTATCAGGGAAATGAGTTCTCGGGAACCTTTGGTTAGTGAAATGATACCTGGTAACTCCAGGATCTGGCTAAAGGTTCAAATGGCTTGAAGGTGAACTTTGGTTGTCTATCCAACTCCAGTCAGAACCTTGCAACTGCAGCCGAGGTTTCACAAGCTGCTCACTATCATAAAAGGAGATAGAGTAATACGATCTGATGGTACAACACAAGTAGTGTTTAGAAATACTATCATTTTTCAGTCTCTGCCTTTTGAGAAGAACAAATGGCTCGAGTGACACATGTACATTTTCTCCGCAGCAATTGGTTCTCTACCGTCAACCTCTTCTTGCCCCACGACTGTCCACAAGCTTCCACTTCCGCTTCACATGATCTCCGCATATAAGACTCAACCCGCAGCTTCCTATTCGGGTTCCATTCAAGGGTATTTGCTGGGGTTTCAGGGTTCAATGCTTAAAAATCAAATGGTCACCAGGATCCTACAACGGCTGTAAGCGCCTAATTTAAGTCGTCATCAACTGTGACAAAAATTCAAACAAACAAAAAACACAAATTGCAATAACACACACCGGAAATGCGTGAAATGTGTGATAGAACTAACTTACACGGTGCTGTTTTTGGAAGTCGACTAGTGGATTTTGGAATTTTCGGGGATAAAGATATTGAAGAACGGACAGGTTTAAAGCCCATACCTTCTTGAAACATTTCTTGCCGGCAGGTGATAACGCCTAGACTGCCAGTTTCAGATTGTAAAGCAAGACGTCTTGGTGTCTCCTCTAGCGGGAGACTTCGTACATGTAATTTTTGAATTTCATCTACTGATCCAATGATGAGCGAGGAAGGAGTGACCAGTGCAATGCTAACAGTGGGATAACAAGAACAATAAAATGAAGATGATCAACGCACAACTTTACTAGGGCAAGTTAGTTAGTTAACTAATCAGCTTTACTTACAATAGGGCAAAGAAACATCCATTTAGCTATAAACTTGAAACTGTTATCACTGATTGATACAAACTAACATACCCGTAGCACAAGAGGTGGCTCTCATGGCTTAAGTGGATAACGCCTTAGCGCTTAAAATGATGGGTACTGGGTTCGAGTCTCAGTGGAAACATCGCTAGTCATTAGGGAATGCATGTGCATCCAGACGACGAGCCCCAAATAGGACGAAATGTGCATCCTGGATCCGCCCCCGCCGCATTGCTGACCACCACCTGCCAAATTACTTCAAGTTAATCCTCAGCCTATCGCGCCAAAGCGTCCGTATTCGGAGTCGATAACAAATCAACAAACGCCGAACATTTCGGCCTAAACAATCACCGGGAAAGGAAAAATTCTATTGAATTGAAAGCGATTGGTGACTGGTTGATAAAGCCTACACAAACTGCTTTCCACTTCCATTTCAGTGCTTCTGTAAGACCAATTTCAATGTAATGCGTATAGTTTAGCCGTTTTTATTTTATTTTCGGCAACTGACTAATGCCAAAAGCACCTCAAATGTTAAACACGACCAGTAGTTTATTCAGTTTATACAAAGAGACGTTTGTGGACAATATCAAATGTTCAAAACATTAACAATAAGTCTCAGACAAAGTTCATAATGACATAGGCGTCAGTGCATTCATTTCTGCTTATTCTTAACCAGATAGTGAAATACCTAATACATTCAACGCACATTGTTAAAAACTGGCTACCACCTAATTATGTCTCCATTAGATATCATGGGGAAGATGCGTGGTTTAGGTGGATGGTTACTAGGCAACATACTCACCTCAGCGTATACTTTATTTTGAAGTGTAAGGGTTTACTAGTCATCTCTCCCGGTGACCCTGACCGTGATTGCTTGTTTTTGTGCTTTTACACCCTCTACTCTACTTGACCTGAGGTTTGGCTTCTTGTGCATGAGATTTTCTTCCTATGGATTGGTAAATTTTATCTATGTCAATGTGCTTGTTAATTGCAAATTTATTGGAATACTAGGCTTCCGAAAATTCTATGACATTCTTGGTATTTCCTCTGTTTAATATTTGAACGTTGGTTGTCCCAGTCGAATTGACATCCGTGGTTGTCTGTATGCAGCGATATGAGCGAGGGAGTGGATGTCATGTCTTTTGACGCTTAGTTTATGTTCATGGATGTGAAGACAAAGAGGGTGTTCACTTTGGCAAATGTAGTGTTTTTTGCAATCGTCGCAATTTATTTTGTAGATGACGTTGGTTTTACCTTCTTTCGCTGTTGAGTCTTTTGTTTGAAGCACGGCCGGCTGAGTGAAGTGACTTTGTTGATCTGTGTGAGACATCAATTCCTAAAGGTTTGAAGAGTCTTGCGGTGATTTCTGAGACGCTCTTTACGTTCCCAGTGGAACATATAGGGCTTCAAGCTAGAGGCTTGAAGTTTCTGTAGCAACTGTGGTTATTTTTACAGGATGGAGTTGCTAGCCTCATGCCCAACCTCCCCTCTTCACCAGTCTTATTATTGGCTTAGCGAGGTAAAGGAATGCGTCGGTGGCCGGGAGTCGAACCCCGCTCCACCTGCGTGGTCGGCGAGCACTCTACCACTGTGCTTTCGTTGGTGGGACCTTTGATTTGGTTGGCTGGCTTGAGACGTAGATGTCTTTTGATGGAGTTTCGTGGATATGCATTCCTTTTGGAAGATGTCCATGAGATATTTTTCTTCAATTTTCCTTAAGATAGAAGTGCTGCAATGAATCGTCACTCTGCATCCAAGTTTAACACAAATAATGAAAATCAGTTTATGTAAGATGGCTGGAGGCAGTCGACACGAACCTCCAAAACCCTAGGGTTTCATGCTTGTCGGCACTCACCAGTCACAGCAACACGTATGTGTATCTGGGAGTCGAACCCGGATGTGTGTTTTTTTCATTGTTCAATCAGTTATCCGCATAATATACTCTACTTAGTCGTAAAAATGTTACAGTCAGATATACAACTGGCTTGACATAGATATTAACTTTGCACAGTTTACTTGCTTGCTGGTTTTCTAACCGGTCCCAAGCCCGGGGAACAAAAGAGGGAAGGTTGGGCATGGAGCTAAAGACCCTACAATCCGGAAAACCAATCAAACAGCTACAGAAACGTCAAAGCACAAGAAAAGTATTAACATGGATAATTACAAAGTAGCATACAAAAAGAAAATTTTATCAGCGAGAGAGAGACTACTGCTGCTGCTGCTGCTGCTTACCAGTCAGTGTAGAATACCCCATTCAATGGAGTCATAAAATTCACCTCTTTAAGATTTAAGTTGGCAAATATTAATTTATTCTTGACAGAATATATTACGCATGGATGATTTGAACAAACGAAAACATTCACTTTACGCTGTGAACGCCATTGTCTAAGAAACATAGACGGTCCTGTACCCGCGATAACACGTTTTGCATCACGTAAACGAATATGACCTGTTAAAAGGCAGACAAACATGTGAAAAACACATTACAGTATGAGGAATAGAAGGAGTTCGAGAGAGAGAGAAAGAGAAAGCAGTAAAATACTCACTTTAAAGTTAAAATTAGTTAACACTAGTTAGAAAAACAGAAAAATGACTCTTATTATTGGAAATAGAAGGTAAGTAAAGGTGAATACATTAGTTGTATGAGTCGATGGATGGTACAGCAGTAGAATGCTTGCCGACCAGGCAAGCATGTGTGTTCTGGGGTTTGATCCCCAATCAATGTACTCCTAACCCTTGCTAAGCCGGTACTAAAGTCGGTAAAGGGGAACTGACTGACTGGTCTCAACACAGAACTTTGTACAGATGTGCAGTAGTTCCAGTTGACGCTCTCCACTCCATCTAGCATACAAAGCAAGAGAAGAGAGTAAAAAGAGGTTCAAAAGAGGGATAACAAAACAAAAGTGTGAGCGAGGGAAAAACGATAGTAGTAATATGGAAGGACAAGAGTTTTATTGCATATGATGACCAATCACAAAGGGGGAGTGCATCTGTTCTGTAGCTGCTCACTATGTAGGTTACCTGTTTCAGTTTGACGACAACCTTTCAGGTGTGTTAAAAGGTTTAAGTGACAATCACCAGTCATCAGTATTAAAGTCTTTTTCAGTTGTACCCACCCTTATTATTATTTATTGTCATTTTATTCCTTTATGTCCCTGCTGGTACATAGGGGTTCAAACGGGGGCTTTGAAGTACCCGTAGCAGTGGTG